TTATATAGCCGGGTCAGTAACGATATGCGAAAATGTCAGAGGTGATACCTACGTGGACTGCCAGCTATCAAAGCATCTAAACTGTGAGAGCGTGATATACTCCGACTGGGTCTCATTGAGTGTATTAGTTGCTGAGTCATAAGCATAAAAGTCGCCTTCATTATCAAGGGTGCCAGTCAACACGGGCTGTAAAGCAGACAATTAGACCGAGTTCAGAGCAGGGGGAATGTCACAAAACGTACCACTTTAGCAAAGTTTCCGGCCTTTCCTCTTGCCTTGTATTCTTCCAAAGAAAATACGGTTTGATTGTCGATGAGTGGGAATATTCCAGTAAGATTTTGCTGTTGCAAGGCAGATACGATTTCTGTCGCATTCTTCTGATTGACACAATCCAACTGTGCAGCATAGTTGTCTTGCGACAAAGGGCACCCAAGGGCACTCGCCGTCAGCTCAAAGGAATCGGGATAGGATGGTGCAATAGCGCCCATAAGTTCCGCTTGACCGCTCATTGTGATCGCTCCGGAGATGAGAGAGTTGGTGGGGTGTGCATACACGTAGCCGTTTGTGCTCCCTGCGCCTGCTGATTCACCACCAAGGATCAACCGATTTGGGTCTCCACCAAAGGCAGCAATGTTTTTGTGTATCCATTCAATGGCAAGGAACTGGTCTCGTAGACCTGCATTAGTATCTGTGGACGTGATGGCTGGTGTGGAAGGGAAGCCAAAAATGTTGAGCCGATAATTGAGAGCAACAAAAATGATGTCGGGATGGGCATTCGCAAAGTTAGTCATGTCGTTTACTGGCCAAGATGTGAATTAGCACTGGTTATTGTTGTCAAATTGACAAATAAAAACATACCTGACCAGCTGGTGGCGCCCATAATCCACGCGCCCCCATACATCCAAATGAACACAGGCTTACCATCTCTCTTCGAGGAGTGCATTTCCTTTTGAGAGGTCCAGATGTTCAAGTGGAGGCAATCTTCGCTCTCACCGGTGGGGCTTTCTATCAAC